TGTGAAGGGGGAGGGGACAAAGGCAACTTTAAAGCACTTTTGTGCTTTCCACTTGCGTCGCCTGGCCCCTGGCATAAGTTAGAGCAGCCTCGGGGCATCTTGAGCTGCTGGAAAGCATTTGTCTGTCTGGGCTGGTTTTGTTCCAGCTTAGGAGCCTCCTTATGTTGGGCTAATTCCCCAACGGCCATTTCCACTTCCATTATGGCTCCCTTTCACCACTGGACTGACACGAAGGGGCTGGGCCTGTGCACCTGGCAGCAAAGTGGTGCACCTCTGTCCCTGCGGTAAGAATCTAGTCAAGTGCAAGTCCTGCACCAGACAATTAATTCTAAAGAAACTCAATTGTGGTTGGCACTAGAAAGCTGACTGGTGAGCTGTGCTGCCAGCCCGTTTGAATCTATAGCAGCAGTAATAACAGTAAGGAAGTCGCACATCTCTCCAGCTAAGAATTAGGTATTATGAAAAGGAAAATTCACTGCAGCAGTCTCGAAGAAGCTATCTTTTAGGAGAAGTTACGGTGTCACAGCCTATTCTGTACTTGAAGATTATTGGTGGAACATGATTTATATTGACATGCAAATTTAATGAGATGAAGATTTTTATTGTTTCTCCTATCTCTAGGTTCAGGCTATTTCCCTGAGGTGGAAAAATGCTCTTTGCAAGAAATTCGTTATGTGCAAATGTGTCTTTTCTCCAGTATACTAAAACCAAATTAAAAAATCACTCTAAGACTATAATCACATTTAATTTCTGTTGGTCATAATCAACATGAATGCATTAGATCATATTTACTTGTAGTGTAGTTACTGTACCTATGTGTATGATGATCTAAGTAAAATATGTTGGATACGGGAGATAGATGCTATGTACAGGTAAATTATATGTAAAATGGTGCATTATGTATTATTTCAAAATGTTTCTATTAAATGCATTAAAAGAAACCCATGTTCACTCTGCATTAAGGATGTGCTGTTCTAGTCAAATAGTCAGGAAATGCTGAAGAAAAACACCTTACAGCAGTGATGTTACCTCAAGCACATCGTACATCCCGGTACACCTAACAAAACAAACATGAAGAATGCTATAATAACCCATCACCTACCAATCGTCCTACAGCCATCCGGCAAGGTGCCGAGCCTTCCATTCCCAGGAGACACAATGAGGGTTGAGGGCACTAAATATCTCACAGGAGATGATAAGGGGCCCATGATGTGCACAGCCTAGGTTGCCTCAAACCCTTTTATGGAAAACACTCACACTTAATGAGCTGCCCACACACGGGCATGATCCCTCCTAGATCTTCATGGCTGGAATTGTTTAAAAGGCAGGATCGTGCACATTGTGAAGCAGCTTGAGCCTCCCTCGGGAATTCTGGCAGAGCCCTGCACCAAACCCATGGCTGGCACTGAAAAATGGGCTCCTACAAGCAAGAAACACTTACTTGGGTTACATACGGAAATGAACGGGTTCACACAGACATTATGATGAAAAGACACGGTTGTTCACAAAACTGCAACATACGTTATAGTATTTGTGAAATAAAGACTCTAGCAAACAATAGTCACATGATACTTAAATTCACAAGCTCCAAGCTCATGACGTACTGCAACCTAACTTAAAACAATGGAGAGGCAGACTGCAGGTTTCTCGATATTGTCAACAATGCAACACTCTCCCACAAATCATGGGAACATGAAAAAGCCCAGACTAGGATTTTGGCTGATGATTCTGCTACTTGGAATGAGACGGAAACCTGCATTTTACTGTCCTCCCTGAAATGACTTTTAAAACACCGGTGTCATGGCTCAGTGAAAATCCTTGGCTGCTGGATTCTCACTTTGAATTTGGAGTGCTTTGGTAGTGGATGGGGGAATAACGTTTTCAGAGCTCCTGCACTATGTTGCAGTCTTTGAGCTGAGAAAATACACGCCTCTCCTTTTATGAGCCTCACTCAACTGTGCTTTGTGCCACTGGGAACCATCTCAGTTCAGCCCCAGTCACTTTCAGGGGGCAGAGGAACACCCCACAACTCAACTTCTTACAAATGCATACCTGAAAGGATTTTTTACCCTTTCATTCAAGAAGACAAAAGCATGCAAGAAATCCACAGGGCAAAGAGGCTCGAAGAACTGGTGTTTGGCACATGCTGTGGTCAGCCATGGTAAAAAAAATAAAATAAATTAAAATTAAAATAAAATTAAACAGAGAACTGCTACTGCACAAAGAAGGCTGGGCTAGATTCACCAGGCTGTTCGACCAGGATGACCCTGGTGTAAGGCCACTGAAATCAAAATGATTCCAGCAGAAAATTGGCGTAACACAAGGTGAATCAAGCCCACTGCTTTGATCTTCCACAGGTATCAGCTCGGAGGGAGGCCGTTACAGCTTCAAATGCCTCTTGATGAGGTCCCTCAGAATAAAATCTTAAGGGCATGATCACCCTTGGAGATGCACTCACACCACTGCCATTGACTTCAATGGGAAACCAGAGAGAGAACAGGGGCTTGAAACCCAGCACTTTTTATGGAAAAAAATTTCTCTCTCCAGTGTGAATTAACAGATGTGGTAGACTAACCGGATGAACAGTGATATCAGAAATGCACCATGTAAAATACTGTGAAGGTTTCCTTTTGTATTTATCATTTTCAGTCTCACTAGCCTGCCTATAGCATGCGTGCGTGCTTCTCTCTATATATTTTAACCAACTATCATTCTTCTCAGCTGAGTCAATCTCTTGTCCCTGAGGAGCTTTTATAATTACATTAGAGGCGTCTTTTTTGCTGTAACTTACAGACGTGACAAACGATCTTGAAAAGTCTGACACTCAACCATGGATATCTGCTATCTCCAGACTTATCATACATGGTAGATTTCCTCATGGCGCAAATCCACCTCAGTCATGATTTCAAATCAGTGGCTCAGAAGGAAACAATTCTCTTGTGTCAATTAGAGATCATAGTCCTAAAACCGCATCATACTGAAAGCTAGACCCAGTAACTGCTACGTAACAGACCAGAGATGGAGCTAAACAAACCATCAAACTGGAACAAGAAATAAACTTCTCATTAACCCTGACAATAACTGGTTAATGGTAGAAAAATATTTTCTTGAAATGCAAGATATTCAGAGAAAACCAGGTCAGCTTGATTGCCACAGAACTCATCAGTACAGAATACACCACACAGAATTGAAATACAACATGAAGAGAATTTCAGCCAACAGCTGAAAAGAAACCAAAGTTTGAGTCAGTTTTGATAGTGGTTAGTGCAAGGTATTGTCCTCGGAGACTCAGGACTCCTAGTTTCTATACCCAAATGTCAGAGTGCCCCTGTGTGACCTTGGGAAAAGCACTTTACCTTGCTGGGTCTTACTTTATCCCTTTATAAAACATTTATGATGTTTACCTACCTCTCAGTGGGGTAAAAATTAATTGGCCTGATCCAACACCCATTGAAGTAAATGGTAGTCTTTCCATTGACTTCCATTTAATGGGCTTTGGATTAGGCCCAATGTTTGTAAAGTGCTTTGTACATTGCAGCTGAAAGGTACTATACAGTGCCAAGCATGCTGAATAAATTATTACTAACAATTCTCCACAGAGGGCAGTGCCAGGTATGATGAACTGGTAGAGCAAGTTAACAGGCTGTTTGTTTAGTCTATGGACTATTGCTTTCCAAACCAGTCTGTAAACCTGGGCAATACAGTTTAAAGCATATTTCTGCAAGTTGTGAGCGCCTGTCTGAGGTTGTTTCAGTCCCAGTAGAGCTAGAAAGAGATGATCATGGCCTAGGCCACCATCTTCTCTTTCAATATTAAATGACACCATGAACGCTAATGTCATTTCCCTCTAAACACGGTGTATCTATACAGTTACAAGTAACTATAATGAGAAGAAATTAGGGAACAGAAAACATGGACTTCTATTTTCCCCCCAATCTGTTTGCTTTGGGAATTCAACAGTGCTTTGAGGCAGGTCCTCAGCTGGTATAAATCAGAGCAGGTCTCTCGAACTCAGTTGAGCTGTGCCCTTTTTCACCCGCTGAGAACCTGGCCCAAAGTATAGAGTCATTTTCACAGCTTCCCATGTAGTCAGTCTGTCTGTCCCTTGCTGAAGGGAACACTGAAAACAACTGGGGAGTAGAAAACCACTTCAAGTAATATGCAGGAACTGCAATTCTGGGCAGCCTTTTTCCAGGTCAAGCAAGGAGACCCCTGACTTCCTCCCATCCACTCTAGGACTATATGGATGGGGACATGATTAAACCCTTTTCTTTTCTTTCAAGAAAAGAAAGTGCCAAGCATTTAAAATAAAAATCAGAAATGAAAGCAGACACATTAAGAACGAGTGTGGAAATTCTCAGTGGAAAAGTACAGCAGTGTTAAATGGCTGTTACACATCTATGACTTTGTATTTTAAAACGTGCATTTATGGCATAATAATACTACCAGCAAGAAGGGGTGGCCCACTTGGGATTCAAATATAAGAAAATATTGCTTCCAATAATCTAACAGATGGGGTCATTGGTGTAACAACCGATCGGAGAATACAATACTGACATGAACTAATTTCACAATGGCATGAGCCATTAGGACCACCAATATGTTTCAGGCCTGTCTCTAGTCGTGATGTCCACCCTTAAAGGACTTGTTCAGACTCTCACCGTACATCAGACAAGGGGTAAAGTGACATCTCTCAGCAAACATAAAGGAAATGTTTGGTTTTCTCACACGCACAAAGCAATAGTTTAAAGTGATCTCCACAGCTGTATTTTCTTACAATGTGGGGGGGTGAGGGTGGGGTGGTCACTTTTTTCTTATAAAAGACACAGAGATTTTATTCCATACACTGCTTTGCATTCATTGCAGAAATGTGTAATGCACTAAATCCAAGACATCACCTGCATATTACATTTCAAATCACGCGAATGTTCCCGTTGATACGGATTAGAATCAGGGTCACTGAACTTCAAATCAGAAAAAATATGGAAGTGGTTACTTACGGATGTGTATAGGTATCCTTCACTGTTCATTGCCAAATACAATTTCGTTTGAACCCCTTGAATAGCCACCACTCGTAAGCCCACGGGTATGAGGTTAAACAAAGCTAGGAGAGAAACGGACACAAATAGCAAAGTTAATCTTTTCAAATAATTATCTGAGATAGATGAGTAATGTATAATCATTATAACTATTCACAGTGGCTCTGGTCCTGCAAACACTTAATTCTAATACTTAGCTCTTATCTAGTGCTTGCCAGCAGCTGATCTCAAAGCACATTACAAAGGAAATCAGTATCGTTATCCCCATTTTGCAGATGGAGAAACTGAGGCACTGAGCGGTGACGTGACCTGCTCAAGGTCACCTAGAAGGCCAGAGACAGAGCCTATGAATAGAACTGAAGATCCCCTGAGTGTCAAGACAGTGCTCTATCCACTAGGCCACACAGCTTCCCATGATAGTAGTCATTCCATTAGCTTCAGTAACTGAACAACATATTGCCCTCAATTGCTCTCCTCACAACTGTAACGCGGCCCTTGGTAATAAGTGTTCTGCAGGATCAGGCCTAAACATTGTACTTTCAAAATTAAACTGCTTTTAATTCTCTGCTAGCATTTCTCCTCAGAATAATCAATAATATTTTCAATATTTACAGGCAGAGATGCCTATATTTTAATAACGTTGAAGTTGGTACGTAGACTGGCAAATTAAAGAAATAAGCAGAGCTCAGCCTTGGCTCAAATTTTTGCTATTGTTGTTTGGCAGAGGAATTTTACCACTGTTTGAACCAAGTATTTTGTATCGTCAATTCCCGCTGTAGGATTAAAAAGAAATGGCGTAAAGAAGGGTTATGAAAAACAACAGGAGCTGATACCATAATCTATAGAGTCTCCTTTAGACTGTGGCATAAATGCAGGGTTAGAACTACATAATGCCATATTGAATTTTATTTACAATGTTTTTTTACATGGCTGTAAAACTCCAATCTGCTCCAGGCTGAATTTTGGTATTTATGATCGTTGTCCGAGGGTAATTTAAAACCAAACCACCAATTTGAAATAAATTATTGATTTATTTACAAAGGTATAAGCAAAAAAATATGACCAGTTTTAAATTCCCTTTCAGCCTGACAACCCCCAAATGGACACGTTTAGTTACAAGAAAATTTGCAGCCTACCAGTGTTTAATACAGACTGTAAATTCTGGCAGTGCATCAATAAAACTTGGGGAAAAAAGCAAGTTTTAAAATGTCCTTAAAGGAGAGAGTGTCTTGGATTTAAAAAAGGGACTGGAAACCAAAGGCCAAATTCTTTACTGGTGTAAATGGGCAGAGCACCATTGATTTTAAATGAATGTCTCCCATTTATACCAGTGAGAATCTGGTCCCAAGACTTTTCGGTTCTCTTCCTGCCTTTGTCACGGGCTCTCTGTTTGACCTTGAAACATTAATTTAAGAGTTCCATGCCTTGCTTTCCCGATCTGTACATTGTGCATAAATACTGGTGCGAGTGGAACTTTTTAGGATGAAAAGATTTTTCACAGAAAAATGGGATTTCTGTCAAAAACACAATTTTTAATGACCAAATTCTTTTTCGACAAAAATATTTGGATTTTCAGAATTTTTTTTTTCACTTTTTAAGAAACCTTTTCGTTTTCAGCAAACACAAAGCTTTTAGTTTTAGGCCTCCACAAAGCAGCACAAATTTTCACTGGCATTTTAAAAATTTGTTTGTAGGGAAAAAAAAACAGAAATCGCTTCCTGCATAGCTGCAATAGTCACTTTATAAGGGAGTTGTGAAGATTCCTGACTTGCAGCCAGATTTTCAGAAGACCTCACCACATTGGAGACCCCCAATTCTTATTCAAGTAGAGGCAGCATAGTTTAGGCCAGTGATACTCAGATCTCGGTAGTCCTGGAGCCAAATTAGCGATCAACATAACCCAAAAGAGCCAGAATAGTGTGAGTTCATTGCTCCATGTACCGTAGTAGGATCTATTCACATAGAAAGAGTATGACAGGAAATACTTTGTTTATATATATATATATATATATATATATATATATATAGAAAGAGTATGACAGGAAATACTTTGTTTATATATATATATATATATATATATATATATATATATACACACACTCTGTGATTTAATTATTAACCAATCAGGATGCTTTTGCTGTGTTATCAACCAATTGTAGTTGATAAAATACAAATACTCGGTCAGTCATTTTGCGGTGAGAATTATTTATATATATATATATATAAATAATTCTCACCGCAAAATGACTGACCGAGTATTTTATCAACTACAATTGGTAGAGAACACGGTAAAAGCATCCTGATTGGTTAATAACTTAGGTGGGTTAATAATTAAATCACACAGTGTTTTAATATCATCTGCTGCAACGAGCTGCAGAAGACCCATTAAAAAGCCACTTGTAGCTTGGGATCGTCAGTCTGAGTATTGCTGGTTTAGGCTTTCAAGTCCCTAAAGCATTTGGCGAACATCTTACGAAGGTGTTTTGGTGAGTGCAAACCGCAATGTTACTGTATGTTTTGCTGGCAGAGCGTGTCCACACAACCGTACAGCGGTCAGCTGGTGCTGCTGGGACGCAGGAAGTTTAGATGGTCGTGGCTGAAACTCAAAGAGAAGAGCTGAAGAGCCAGTGGTTCTCCTTCCCCAGTATCTCTCCTCACCTCTGCTCTGCCAATCAAAATGGGGCAAACCCCATTTTGAAACTCGCTCTTCCATTGGCGCTGTTCTTCCTACTGCCGTCAGCCTGCAGTCTGAGTCGGGATTTTCACCAGGAAGCTGTGTGTACAGTCTCCATGGTAAATGCTGGTAGGAGCCTGTCAATGGATCTGCTAAGGACATTTCTTCTGGTGCGGGACAAACCTGCCTAGGATGAGCTAGTTCCCAGATTTAAAAAGCGAGGGATGGTTTTCAGAGTAAGTCATCCTGCTGTGCTTGCCAAAGGGAGAGTGGGCTGAGTGCCATGCTGTGTGTATTTTGCCAGAGGAAGCCTGCCATCGCAGGGCAGGTTTGGGCGCCTCACTCTAAGGCACAGTCTGCTGCTTCACTGAGTCACAGAGCATACATGCTCGCCAGAAACTGGCATGCCCTGGCAGCACGCACATTGGCTCTCATGAGGCAAGAGGAGCAACTTGGCCGCCGGCTGCCCCTCCTTGGGGTATGCTGTGTGAACTAGTACGTCAGCACATTATCCTGACTCCCATGTTATACATAATTTACTCCTGAAATTGGCCTTCCCTTCCGATGAAGCCCTTGCAGACTGTACATCTCGTTTACATACCACGGCGAGTAATCAGCATGAATGCATGGAAAGATGTGCAAGAGTCTCTTGTATATTTAACACCAATCGATAGAACCATGGAAACTCTCTGTTATTCAAATGTACACTCATGATGCCACAGATACTGTGCCGGAGACATTATTCGCACACGGTAACAAACTACAGTACTCCCTTAGCCGCACAGGCATTATGGGAAAAGCCTCAAAAAGCCAACCCAGAATTAATTCTTTTCCATTACGCTCTGTTATTGTCAGTTTGTGTTAGCCCAAGATAATGCCAAATGTCACTACTAGAATTTCCATGCGAGTTTACACTGCGTAGGATAGGACATACTACCTGATAGAACGAAAAAACTAGGTAATGCCTAAGGGAGACAGGATATTTGCTGGGGCCGCTGTTCAATATAAACTGACACTAAACAATAGCTGTAACATTGAGAAGGCACTAGGCTGCAACCGTATGCCTGACTGTGTAAATTATTGATAATTATAGGCCATCCTAGGCTGAAACACACAAACATGTCCACTTTCCAAAGAAGATGTTTTCCTTTGTATCTATCTGATAAACCGTCAAATCTCTCCCCATACCTAGATTAGGGAACAAATTCTGCCTTGATTTACACCCAAACAACCCCCAGTTTCATGAGGCAAAATTAAAGCCAGGAAAACTCCTGTCCCCAGAAATTCTTCCCCAAACTGTGAAGACTCTCTCACTGGCTAAAGACAAGGCCCTGTGTATTCTACGATCCATCATTTACCATAGAATTGTGCTCTGAAATCTCAGATTTCTTTTAAAATTATATACGTTTCTAGCCTTTATGGCTGTGGATATGATCATGAAAATGTGAACCAAGTGAAAATTGATGGAATATCATCTTCTGAGCCTGCAGAGAGCCTGGAAGATTAGCCCTGAGAGGTGCAAACTGCCCCATTCATCGCACTCAGGACACTGTGTATGCTGAGGTTCTGGGGGTGCAGAATTCGCCGTTCTTTGCATCTGAGCACGTGGCATTTTGTTTTTGGGCTTCCTGCTCTACTGTAACCTTGTGTGGAAAGTTGCTGCCCAGCTTTCCACACAAGGAGTCAAACTGGATCTCAGTGCCTATTTCATCTAGTAATCTATGAAGTCAGGCAGCAGAGGGTAGCTAGAACTGGAATCCAGGGAATGGGGGAGCTGGAAATGTAGAGTGGCCATCTAGGCTGCAGCAGTCAAGGCCCAGGGAGCTTGCGAGATAAGTTGCCATAGCTGAATCCATGATCTCCACTTCCCCAGCAGAAACAGAGGACGGAGATTTTGAGCTGGGCTGCCTGGATGCTTTATGGGAGACAAGGCCCAACAAATGGAGTGGACCACCTGGAGAGTATAGGACAAAACCCATCCTCTAACTTCATCATGGGTTAATTTTACATGAATGAGTATTTTCAACTCTGAGCACCAGCAGTGTTCATGTCTGGGTGCTGGCGGGGGGTATGGGGGGGGGTAAGGGGCAACGGGAATGAAGGGTATTCATGGAGATAGAATAAATGATCATTAACACTGACTTGGGGGGTGCTTGCTTCAGAATTTTGTTCCACTGTGCCACAGAGCGCGTGGGCTCCTGGCTACAGACTTATAACAGCTGTCGGCAAAAAACGAAGGGCTGTCCCATGTTGGAATGATTTGAATGCAGAAGAATTTTTTTTTTAATTACTACAAATGGGATTTTCAATGTCTCACTGCAAGGCACAGCCAAATACTCCTCCATACAAGGAAGAGTAATCAAAACAGCCTTAAAATTAATGCGAAATGAAGGAGACTTCCTGCAAATGAGTAAGACTCAGCAGATCTGCAAGTGGGAACTACAATAACGGGGAAAGAAAGAGGGTGGGGATCAGAATTTTACTGCAGTCAGAGCAACAGGTTGGAACCCAGCCACTGCTGCGTGGACTTTTAATTCAGGGGCTTGCCCAGCAGGGATGTACAGCCAAATAAGGTACATCTTTGTCGAAGAAAGGAAATAGTAATTCTTTAGCGCCAGATTCTCCAAAGCCTTATTCATGTGAGTGACATGTGCAGGATCAGGCCAATAGTGTATAAGGGTTTAATCCTGCCCTGCTGATGCTTATAGGAACTTTGTCATTACAGCAGGTTCAGGACCAAGGTAAATAGGCAGTGTGGCTTAGAGGGTAGAGCACTGGACCAGGAGAGCAGGGTTCTATTCCTGGCTCCACCACTGGGCTTCTGGCTGACCTCATACAAGTCATGTCACCACTCTATGACTCAGTTTCTCCATCTGTAAAATGGGGAGACTGTAAAGTACTTTGAGATCTACTGAGGAAAGGAGGTATTATTATTACATGCCATAGGTTTTCTACAGTTCTCTACATTCACTTCCAATCGGTGAAAGTAAAATGCTTTTCCATGATAAATATCTTCCATGTTGGGAAAGTGCAGGCCAGTTGGATCCATTTCTAGGATATATCCATCACATCCTCCTTTGCGGAGAACATTCATTATTTATGAAGGCTGGTTTTCAGCTCCAAGAAGCGTACATGATTTACACGTAGCCTGGTACTCTCTCTCAATGTGGTAAGTTTAAATGCATAATGCAAACACAAATATGTTGGAAACAGACACATCTGTGTGACTGTAAGAAGTCCCCTCATGGCTCTCTTGCCTAGAATGTCAGAACTCCATTAAAATAAGTCAAAATAAAGTATTTGGGTGGAACTGCCCCCAAGAGAAATAATCTGCAATTCAGGGGACTCAGTATGCTACATTAAAAGTTTATAACACAACTGAAATTATTACATTTGCCTGTTAGCTTCTTAACTCGTTTATTTAAAAATAGACCAAGTGCAGCGTTCTGCCAACATTCTGAACAAATCTATGTTATTTCTTTTAACTTGTAATGCCAAAACACCAGCAATTGTTTTAAAGAACAGCAGCATTTTATGATGCACAATGATCATCTTTTATTCTGTTCCACATGGGTTCTTATATCATGCTGATCACCATCGTATCGGAGTGCCTTCCAGGAGTGCATTAAGCAACATGACTACACATCTTCCATGAGGTGTTTGTTGAAGGTTTAAACTAGATTTCGAGGATTCCCAATCTCGCTTGAGAGAGCTGGGATGATTGGCTGCATCCTAAAGGGGTATCACCAACTCTGTTGCATGGGATTCAGATTTGAAAGCAGCTCAGAACCGTAGACCTAAGATGGCCTTGGTTTACCTGGCCTGCAGCATGCATTGCTCTCAGCACCTGTAATGACTGCACATGACAGATCCATGGCAACCTCATTGGTTCTGTCATATCAGTGAAAAATAACACTGCAAAGCAATGAATGTTAAAGAGAGAGAAGGGTAGAAACCTACATGGATCCGGGTGAAATGTGACATGATCAATGAAACGTCATAAAACTACTGGATTTCTGTTCTTACCCGACCTCCCTCCTTTGACATTTGAGAGCTTAATGAAAATGAAATAAATTGAAAAGATATTTGCTTTGTGGAAAAGGAAGACTGCATTTTGGTTTCCAGTTTACAATCTCAACAAAATTATACACATTAGCTATCACTGAAATACCCTCTTGGTTCATTCCAACTCTTTTCAAGACAAAAAATTAGTTTAAACTAAACAAAACAATTGTGTGAATTTTTTTTTTTTTTTGGTACTTGTATCAACATCACTGTTTTTAGTCCTCGTTTGCTCTTTTCCATTGGTCTCCTGGCTTAAAAAACCTCCTCAAAACTGTTTCACAGAAAAGCCCAAGGAAAATTGTTTCATTACTGAAATCATAATTGGGCTCAGAATTATCAGCACCAGGGACGGGGAGACAAGGAATGTGAACTTTAAAATGATGATGAAGTCTCATTATGTGAAATAACTCAGCTCTCTTGGAGTGAGACCCCTGCTTAAGACTAGAGATAACATTAGTCTATTTCAGGCACGCTGCGTAGGCGAGCAAATTTTTTTTCTGTTGAAAAAAAATCTAATAAAATCCAAAGGACAGCGACGAACTTCTCTAGATTACCATGGAGATAACATTCGGATTGTTTTTCGGATGTATCACCATTACCTCCTCAAGTATATTTGTTTTCAGTGTTTTTGTAATGTATTTCCTTCAGACTCAATGGCAAGTATGTGCGCAGTGTTAATGTTTCACTCAGTCAGACATCCCAGAGCACTCATTTTCAAACAGATTGAGATGGAAAAGAACAATACCCCATAATTCACAAACACACGAGGTTATCTGATGCATTCGGATGCCACTTACTATAACTACTGTCCTCCTCTTTTGTCCCATCAATTGTTCCATCTGCTTGCAACTGCAAGTGGTAGCCTTGCCTGCTATATAGTTTTGTTACTATTCCTTTAAGCTGTGGCTCTGTAAGAAAACAACAATGAGGTTAATTTATGAAATCTGGATGTGCCGTTGCATGTTGTCAGGCTTCAAAACAAATCTTCATTTTTGATTTTAGAGATGGAATATGAAAAAACACCAGGATTAGCAGCTTTATATCTGTTCCCATTTAGGCAAAGATCAAATTAGTGACTGTAAAAATCAATTGCCAAATGATGAAATGCCACTCTCTATTGGAATGTACGTAACACATTTAAATCTGCTTCCATTGAATACAAATTCCAACAGCGTGTCATTTGATTTAGGGAGTGTGCCCTATCTCATTTAAGATTAGAAATGTGCTGACAAAGAGTGTATTCTGGCTTTTAACAAGGTGTGAATTCTCAAAAAGAGGGAAAGAGAGAACTGCTAATATAAGGTAAGATAATGGTGTTGCCGGCACCCAGTGCCGAGAGGCTGAACAACAGCTTGAGTTGGTTCGTTACCCGGTGTGCTGCACCCAATAATCACAACGCAGAGCTGCTGCGAGTGCCTCCAGGCAGGAGGGGGGGGGCCAAGGACACCGGGGCCTAGTGCGAGGGGGCTTCATCGACACTCGTGGTCTTCCATCCCCTCGAGTTACCTAGTGGCCGTGCCCCAGTGTTCCCAACAATGGTAATAAGAATGAAAACTGTATACCAAATCAAAAGCCTAAATATACAGCAGCTAAGGTTTACCATAAGAACTGCTGCAATTCCAATAAACAATCCACCGTTCTTTGCTGATCCAAAGAACATGCAGAATCAGAAGGGATAAACTAGTCAATGAACAGAGGTAAACAGAAGAAGGAAACCGCTTTAAACTCAGCAATATGTTGAATTGTAATGGGAATATTACCATAAAAGATGCTATTTCACAGACTCAGGGGGAAAAAAGAAAAAGAAAAAACAGTTTGGATATAAATCTGCTTTATAATCATCTTCATGTTCAATGTTCGAAAATGAAATAGCCAAACCAACATTAGATCATTCTGAACTTTGAAGTAAATAGCAACAGGATTTGCTAAGAAGTCTGTACATTTAAAGAAAATATCTCGGCAATGCATCAAGAGGAATTGCAATAAAATAGGTCTACTTCCACTGAATCCCAATGAATCTGCATTGTGGTAATTGTCACACAGTTATTTTCATCAGACTGTGAAGCCTTTCTAGCAGTCTGCTCCAAAACCTTAGCTGATTCACAGATAAACACAATATGAAAATATGAATTGCCATTTTCAACCCAAAAAGTTCCCACATCTGGGCAAGACTTCCTGGTCTTAAAAGGAAAGAAATCAGGGTAGATATTCCGTTATACATATTTTGGATAGGATTTGAAGCAAAGCCTTATAATGATTTGCATAAGTATATTACTTCCTATTAGCAACCTTTAATAAGTGTACTGAGGGATGCATAATTTATATACACCCTCTCATTTAATATGAAACTAAACCAAAGGTCACTCTATTTTCTTGCATTAACAATGTTCAAAAAGCTCTTAGCAAATGTAGGCTCCCTTTTTCAACTAGCCACCCTATTATTTGGCTACATGAAAAATGCAAGCAAGTTCAGTAGCTACAGGCAGCTAGATTTTGGAAAAGCAAATTACTAGCAACATTGTTGACGGGCTTCTGCTCTTCCTGTGTACAAAATGCACTGGATCAGAAGACTAATTCTTCATACCTGATCTTTTTCACCTCTGTTACATACAGAATTGTGGGTGTAATGATTTATATAAGATATTCCTAGAAAGGCGCAAGGGGATGAAAGGTTATAAAGGTCTAGAAACTGCTGGCTGATGTAAATAGCCTGTTCTCATATCATTAGCAAATAATAGCACAAGGCACAAAAATTCTAGAGACCTGAAGGAGGGAAAACAGATTACTGAACATGTAGACAGATGAACACATGATTGAAGGAGAGGTAGGGCTCTGTGTGTGTGTGTGTGTGTGTGTGTGAGAGAGAGAGAGATGAATACATGACTGATCCATGGGTACACATGAGTGTGCATGTGAGAAAGAAGAGAAATCAATGGTGTGTGTCAGACAAATTAGTGATAAGAAAGTGTGTGAGTGAGAAACCAGCTCTGTGTGTCTGTGTCCCCATGTCTATTGGCAATTACAATACCTGAGAGTTAATTTCACCAGTCCCCCTCCCCAGGCATGATGCACATTACGGCTTGTGTTAAACAGAACAAAACCAAGCAGGTAACCCTTGCCAACCTGGTCGCCTTCTCCGTCTTTTCTTGGAGCTGAAGAGTTTGACCCTGGAGAACACATTCAGCTTGTTCTTCTCGCAGCTGCCCTTGCTCTTGCTGGGGCTGTTGACACACTTGCAAGCGTTGGATTTCTCCCGCTCCCTGGCTTGTCTCTTCTGGCGGATCAGGGAGCTGGCGATTGCTGCAGCCATGGCCGCCACCGCTCCGACGCCACCTGGGGGTCAGACACCGGGGCTCTGGGCGCTGGCTGCAGCCGCCAGCATGCTGCTCTTCCAGCCCCCAAAATCTGGGGCACTGGATCCCACCGCTAATACGGATGCCGCGGCACGAGCTTTGGAGCAGAGGAGGCACAGGTGGGGATGCTTCCACCAGACCAAACCAGGATGCAACAGTTGAGCTCCAGTGGTTTGGTCAGCAGAGGAGAGCCGCTTTGTTCCTGGGCTTTTATCCCTCGCAACTTCTGGCAGGGCAAAGTTTGCAGGCAGGGCTCAGCGTTCCTCGGGAGATCAAGCAGGTCACTGACAAGACATCCCTCGGTGCTTCTCCAGACGCGCTGTTCTCAGGCAGACCCGGGACCTCCACTTGGCACAAGATCCATGCACCTTTGCCCAGCTTGATTTTTCCAGTCAACTTTTCTCCCGCCTTCTTCTCCCCAGTCAAATCCCAGCAAGCACCTGTTAGGCTCTGGCAGAGTCGGTCTGTGGCAGGGTTTTCTGGATTCTTTTTCCTCCCTTCCCGGAGAAGGAATGTGAAGCGAGCAGGGAGGAAGGCACTCCACTGCCTGGAGCCCTGGCTGGCTGGTTCTGAATTCCTTGGAAAGCCCCCTCCCTAAGATTTTACCAGTGGAGCTTCAAATGCAGCCTCTCCTCCAGCGATGCTTTTGTATTTTGCATTGCAACACTTGTAACCATTCAGCAACCAGCAAAGGGGCTCCCCGATGCCTGGTTGCCAGCAGCACCAGCCTTCAGGCAGCAAACGCACTCCCTTCCTCTCTCGCGCACACACACACCAGGAGCTGTGCACTGGATATAGAAACCCGACGATGCAGCGCTCCCCTTACCACCTCCCCTCCCCCTTCCTCAGTGAAGGCAGCAACCCAGGAGATCTGCCCCATGGAGCAGTTAGGCAGGAGGCTGGATCCTCTGAAGCATCTCAGGTCCCGAAGGGCTGCATAGAGAGCACCTGCTCTAGGACTAGAGCCGCCTCCCGGGGCGAGTCAGACACCCAAACAAACGTGACTGGGATGAGTAATTCTCCAGCAGCTCGGCCAGGGTGACCAGACATATCCATCACCAGGACGCCTGGCGTGGGCACCAGGGCAAAGAAAGGGGGCGGGATTGGTCTCTCAGGGGGCATGTGGGGCAGGATTTGGGGGAGGGTAGGGAGTCCAGTGGGGTAGGTTTTAAAAGCTGGGGGGGGAGAGAGGAAAGGGGGCCAACGCGGCTCCAGCCAAACCCTCCCCCCTTCTCAACCTTTCCCAATGGAAATCGGGATCCAGGAAAGCCCCATGTACCCCTGTGACTCTCTTGATTGTTTTCTCCCTGCCTTTCAACTCCCTCTCCTTTTGCATTATTTCACACCATACCTGCTTCGAGCTCTACCTTATTCCTGGCCATTCCCGGAGACTGGGAAAACCCTTGTGGAGGAGGAGAGTTTTCCAGGCTTGTTCTTTCTCTCTCTCTCTCTCTCATTCTCCCCTCTCTCACCCCACGTCCTGGTCCTTGCTCCTAGGCCAGCTCAAGCCCTGATCCTTGCTCCTAGGCCAGCTCATCCCTCCCCATCTCTTCCTTGATGGACAGAAAGGTCCCTGGTAGGCATGGGGGAGGCTGGGTTGTTGGTTTGAGGATTAAGGGGGGAGGCTGCTAGATTGGGAGGGCTGGAGAAGGCAAGAGTGGGGTTGCCCGTTTGGAGGAAAGGTGGGGGAAGGAAGAAGTAGGGCCCCATGGAAGTGGGGAGAAAGGAAGGAGGTGCTGGGGAAGCAGAAGTTCAGGCAGGTTGTGAGGGAAGGAGAAGGGTTGCTGGTTTGTTGGGGCAGAAAGGAGGAGCTGCTGGTCCAGTGCAGGTGGAGGCTGTAGGAGTCTGTCTGTTGCAATCAGGCAGAGGATGAGCAGCAGAGCCTTGTCCCAGGAGCTCTGGTCCTATCGTAGTTAATGCTCTTCACTGTGGCCACAGCAGCCTCCGTTTATATCTGAGTCACAGCAGCAGGAAGGAAAGTCCTGTGGGCCAGTGAATGAGGCAGGTCGACCTGGGATCTTTGTGCAATTCTGCCACTGATTTTTGTGCAACCTTGGTCAAGTCACTTCCTCCCGTAGACCAAGAACCAATGGCTTGGAGCTGAAGGAAGTCAAATTCAAAGTGGAAATAAGGCACAGTTTGAGACATGGAGGCTGATTAAGCACTGGGACAACTTATGTGGGGTCATCGTGGATTTTCCACCACTGGGGAGTCTCTAAACTGAGACTGGTTGTTTGTCTTTGCAAAAGGTATGCTGCAGCTCAGCCAGAAGTTACAGGCTTGATGCAGAAAATACTGGATGGGATTCGATGGCCTGTGGTAGGCAGGAGGCCAGACCAGAGGATCCCTTCTGGTCTCAAAATCTATGAATCTGTAACTGCCCTAAAGAGATAGGGGAACAGGGGCCAGGGGAGCAGATATTTCTTTTGCTGCTGCACGACTTGGCTTAGGATTTGCAAGGCAGCACCACCTCCAGCTCAGGTCAGCCCAGCAAAAGGCACGTGTGATGGGGTGACCTGGCCTTTGTGGCTTCCTACAGGAGGCCCTGGGGGCCTACTACACCCCACCCCAAGAGGCCGCCAAGTGACACAAAAGGAGCAGCGAAGGTGGCTCGTCCAGGGCCACCTAGAGAGGCCTCACAGAAGCACCCAGCCAGGGCCTAGCAGGTCAGATAAAAGGAGCTACGGAGCCTTACCCCGCCAGTCCCTGGCTGGGACCAGAGGAGTGTGGCAGGGTGGTCACCCCACCATGCCTTGAAGGGCTTAAAACAGCCCTAAGAGAGGGCTGTAGCTGGAGGAAAGCTGGGCTGATTGGGGGAAGTAGCCACAAGTGGGGCCACGCCCCAATCAGGCCACAGCTGGCCCTATAAGAAGGCTGTTAGCCAGGAGCTGAGACAGACACTCTCTCTAGCTACCTGGAGATAGGAGGACCTGGCTGCCTGGGAAGCTGAGGAGGGTACCTAGGGCAGAGCAGTGCTGGGGAAGGGCAGAGGGAGCTGGGGAGCTCCAGCTAGCAGAGCCCCAGGCTGCAGGCCGAGGTAAAGGCCCACAAAAGGGTACTAAGGCTGCAGAGGAGCAGCCCAGACCTAGACAGAGGCAGCTGGTCCGACCCCCCTTGCCGATGATGAGTGGTACAGACTGCAGTCTGCCCCAGGGAGCGGGGTCTAGATGATGACTGACAGTAGCCACTGAGGCAAGGGAGGGATAGGGGGTTGGGGGTTCCCCTGGGAGGGGAGACCCAGACTGGGGGGGTACTGTCAGGGGGCAGAACCCTAATCTAGAAGGGCACCGTGGTCCGGGAGGGGCATGGGGCCAGCGGCAGGCGAGACACTGACCAGTAGAGGGCGCTCCTGGCTGAAAAGAGCTAATTCCCTGGACAACCAGCAGGAGGCTCCACAGCGGTGAGTCGTCACCCCGTCACAAGGGGCAAGGAAAGGGGCTCCCTTTGGCCACAGGAGCTCAAGGGATAACCAGAGTTTGTTTCTGGCTGTGTTTTGCTTTGCTGGGTTTGCAGGGAGAGAGAGGACCTGAGAACCTTAACCCTGAAATAAGGGTGAAGCAAAAAAGGGCCAGGCAGGCAGAGGCCCAGGGAAGAAGCAGCAACAAATTGAAATTGAGCAGTATGTGGCTGCTTTTTATAGGATCCTTGGGCTGGAGCCTGGAGTAGTGGGAGGCCCCAGCGTCCTCTCCTGGCCACAGGTAAAGGAGCATAAGCCCCAAGAAGACCTTATTTGTGAGCCTGAACAAAAGGGCTGAATTTAAAGGGTCCTGACCTGGGCCTGAAGACCCTAGCAAGGGGAAAAAGATTGATTATTTGTTGGACTCTTTACTACCCTGAAAGGGTTCATTTGAACTTTGTGACTTAGTTGGAGGACCAAGCCACTGAAGACCTGCCAAAGTCAGCTGGCAACCTGCAGGGGTGCCAGGGGTTAGAAAAGGTCTGCAGTACCACACCCAGCCACTAGGAGATACTCAAGAGGTGAGTGCCCCCTTTACACCAAGAGCCCCAGTGTCTAGGGCTGAACTAAAACCAGGGACTGACCCAGTTTTAATAAACCCAACAGGAAGCCCAGGACATGCCCTGGAAAGGCGGAGGCTCCCAGAAAACTTGGACTTATGGTCATCCTAAGCCAGAGCATCAGACCAAGAGCTTCCAAAGGCAAAACACTTCTCCAATGTCAAACTCCTTTGCTTCCTTGGGCCCATAACCCTTGCCCCCTGCTCCATACATAACACATCTGTAGTCCAAGCAGGAGCTCTGAGCTCGGAGCATTTGTTTCTCTTGGAAGGCAAGGGGCTCTCTCGCGCCTTGCCTTCCCTCTTATTTCAGACTCATTGAGCTCATGCAATACCTGGCCCTTTCTCAATGTGCTGACATGGAAGCCGGATTACCTTCTCTTCATGCCCTGACAGGGGAGCTAGATGTTATTTGCTACAGCACCAACCTGGAATAAAAAGAATAATGCCACACCATTTCTTAAATTCTAACTGCTACAATAAAATGCAATTCACAGTAACTTTGCAACTGTCACATTTGTTTCCTTGAGTAGAAATAGCTTGGGACACAGTGGAGAACAATTTCTGTTGCAGCAAAACATAGCATTAGCAAGGTCTTGCTAACAGAAATGCCAATCCCTTTGTAACATTTTCAGATACTCAGTTTAGTATTAATAATGTGTCTGAACGGAAGCAAAAGCTATGCCACACAGCCTGAGACCCTGTTTAATTGCAAAAGTATATCTTATCTATAGCCATGCATTCCCTTCCATCTATCAGTCAGTCCCCATATGTACCCAGCTAGCTAGCGAGATGGCTTTTATCAGACACTTATCCCTGTGATATTTATATGTTCGTGCTAAATGAGTACCTTCTGTAGATGCTTAAGCTACAAAATAACTGGAGCCATCTAAAAAGCATTTAAAACACTGACAAATTCTTAACTGGAGAAATACTAACTTACAAAAATAAACTTGCCATTCATAAGTTGCACCTTCACACCCATCTACCAGCTAACTCCAGATACTTGAGATCAGATCTAGTAAAGCCAGCTAGTTAGGTATTATTAGTAAGGGAGTGTACTTGCAACCAAATAATTTATTGTGAATTTTCCTTTGTTTACCCTTTGCAAAATATCCAGAAGTGGAACATCATTTTCTCAAATGTGTTCATAATTCTGCAACATTTTTTCATTAATTGTGTTTACTCTACAGCGTGGTATTCACTACTTGATATTTAGAATGAAAGATGTGGTGCTTAGGTGTGATTGGTCATGAAGTCACATGATAGTATTTCATGCTGCTGAATGGATGAGCAGAACTCTTATAATCCAGTTACTATTGAAAATGCTTGTGCAAAGCAAATTTTACTCTTGCTTTCCATGAGCATTCTCGCAAACAAGTTTAAAATCTGCATTCATCCTAAAAAAAACTCAGTTGCACAAATGTTCCAGGACTGATAATATAAATGAGGAGCAAAACCAGAATACGCTAATTCAGATTTAAATTTCAACAGTCATCAACCGTTTTTTCATGATCCGTCTCCGTCACTGAAGCCTTCTACAAATATGCCTTCTTCGTGCCCACAATGGGGCCCTGAGTTAGGATGAATTTCTCTGCCACTGAGCGAAATCTTTTTTGAGCAGATTGCTTCAAGTTCTTACTGACTATGATGAATTTGTATCATATATTTATATTTACTTGTTCAGCCAGAATGATGAATACATTCTTTCCATTTTCCTACGAAAAGCATGCTAAAAAAAAGTAATAAAATACGCTAGTTCTTTTGACTACCTGAAGCTGTTTTCCTGATATATTCCAAGTAACTTCTAAATGGAGAAGGCAGCTAGAACCTCTTGAGGCAGATGCCTTAGTCTTGTACA